CAAACCTCTACATCCTGGTTCATAGGTTGATGCTCAAGCACTGTGCCATCCCGGCTGGGCATAAATCTTTTTCTTTTAACTGTAACCCTACTTCTCTTATCTGTCCCATTTTTAAGTTAGCAATCCAGCTCCAATTTTTCCTTTTTTTAAAAAAATATATATTTTATTAATTTTTCACAGAGAGGAAGGGAGAACGATAGAGAGCTACAAATGTCGATGAGAGAGAAACATAGACCAGCTGCCTCTTGCACACCCCCTACCAGGGATGTGCCCGCAACCAATGTACATGCCCTTGACCGGAATCGAACCTGGGACCTTTCAGTCAGTCCACAGACCGACGCTCTACCACTGAGCCAAACCAGTTTCGGCCAATTTTTCCTTTTTTTCTATATATTTAAATTTCGGTCTTTGACTTCCTGTGGCCTAATCTATGCTTGTACTGCTGAGTTTAGAGATTTCATAGCCACAATGACCTTCTAATGGATGAATCCAATGGACATATGGTAGTTAGCATTCTTCTTCATGTCTCTGATGCTTTTTGAACATAGAAGATTTTATTTCTTTTCAGAAATGATGGCTTCCTTGGCTTCCGAGTTTCCAAAGTGACCTGATTTTCTTACCCACCCACATTTTTATTATTTGCTGCTGGCCCCAATTATGGAATCTATAATCAGCCCTTCAATACATATATGTTATTTATCAAAGTCCATTTAGAGTTCTCAACCCACAAGTCTCTCCTTTGCAATGCATACCTCAAGTTCCCAAGCAGGTCTCACAGCATCTTTTGTGTACCTCTATTTTATTGGAAACTTGATCATATGATGTTTTATCTGTTTTTATATAGCTGTAATGTTAAATTTCTTAAATGTGTAGAGGCATAGTTGGAACATCTTTGGAACCTATTATGTTTACAAAATAAATGTAGGCATGTGAATTAATGACTGAATCTAATCAGCCACACTAATCTTCCTGCAAATTCTTACTACTGTTTCTTCATAGTTCACCCTTTTTCACATAATCTTCTGCTTTCAATAGTTCTCCTAAGCCCGTTTCAATAGTTTCTCCTAAGAAATTGCCAAATCATTATCTTTAACTTTACCCTTTCAATTACGTCATTCATCTGCCTAAATAAAATCTTTGATTTCTGCTTCATTCTGTTTATAATTCTCACACACATCCCACTCAGAATTTTTGGAATGATTTTCTTGGAGATTTTTTTCTTTCATAACTCATTTCCTTTTCAAACACATCTTCACAGTTTCAAAAAGCTGAAGGCTAACACTCTTCCTCATGCTCTTCTGATCTTTCCTCTTTTAGAAGGACCAGTTTTCCTGCATAGGACATAAAATTATTATCATAAACAGAAAAACAAAGTTCAGATACCTCAGGTCACTAGAAATCTTCATGTCAATTCTTTTGCATCTCAAGATGTAACCAAGGTTCTACTAACTCTTTTTTTTTTTTTAACATATTTTATTGATTTTTTTACAGAGAGGAAGGAAAAGGGATAGAGAGCTAGAAATGTCAATGAGATAGAAACATCGACCAGCTGCCTCCTGCACACCCCCCACCGGGGATGTGCCCACAACCAATGTACATGCCCTTGACCGGAATCGAACCTGGGACCCTTCAGTCCACAGATCGACGCTCTACCACTGAGCCATACTGGTTTCGGCAGGTTCTACTAACTCTTGAGGGAACTCTGTGGACACTTAGGGGACCAACTAGTTTTCTGGATTAGTTTAGTCTTTTTAGTTTCTTCTCATATGTTCTCTCAGTTTAGAATTTCTCCTTACTCTATTTGCCTTTTCGTCACATGGGGAGATGTTCTAAACCACTGATATTTAGACCCACAATGAATGCTGATTTCATTGTGCTACTCTTATTGGCATTATGTTTTTTCACAAGTACTCTGGGTTGTTCTAAGCTACATCTTAGTTTAAGAATTACCACTTAAACCAACCTAATTCAGAATATCAGTAATTAACAGGGTGACATAATGTATAATGCAAACTGATTCTCTCTGTTACACAGTTGACAAATTGCTTTACATTTTTTGGTTTCAATATTCTGGATTATAAAAATAATAGGAATTCTGTGTTATAACTTTTTCTGTAAAAATTAACTTCTCAATAGACCTAACCTGATGATGGATTATAAAATATATGACTATTTATCTATCATCTTCATATATATTTATGTAACTTTACATATCGGATTGACTTTGATATTAAAGCTTAACTTTTGCAGAATTCAAGCTTTCTGTACTAATTTGGTTCACATTACCAACTTATAAACTTTGCCACAGTAATTTTAATTATTGAAAATTATCAAAATAGAGTTTAAGGGATACTAAAAGCTAATAAAGCTGATATTGTACTATACAATTCTAATGGGATCTGTTATAAAACAGATAGAAATTATTGATGAGTAGTTTGTGATCCATTGGGTGATACTCTACTTTAAATTTTTATTCTAAATTATTTTTATTCAGGTGTTATTGTAAGTAAAACATTTTGTACAAGAGGAAGCACTCGTGAATATAAGTTTTTTTTAGGAATATATATTGATCTCTGTATTTTACAATTAAAACATTTTTCATCATTGAATTTAATATTTTATTGAACCCAAAATATTTTATGGAGATTCAAGTGTTCACATTCAAACTATGGTAGGCAATTAATAAAATTAAATGCACAGATAGATTCATTGCAGTTATTATATAACACATGATAAAAAATGATTGTTTTGCACATTTGTCTTTTCAAACATGCCTATCACCTATTTCTCTGCTATCCTGTCAACTTTGGTGGAACCAGTGTATAAACACCCCACCATTGCCCTGTTTCTTACTTCTGTATGAAACTGAAACACAATTTCTTAAAATTTCTTATTCACTTTCCTTTGGTCAATTTATAACTATAAACTATGTATTTTCTTATATATTTTGAACTTCTTGCATTAGTAAAGACTGATTCTAAAAGATTTGAGACTCATTAAAACAGAATTTGATATTGCTATGTCTTGAAGTGATATCTCCATGATCCTTGGTGTTCTTTCCTAGATTTATCATGTCATTAAAATATCATTCAGTAGAATATACTTTGGTGAGTATCTTTTATATGCAGAGCAATGTGGTTTGAGAAAACTGTCAGTGGTCTCATTTTCAAGGTCAGACTAAAGGCATAAAACATATCACAGATAGTTTGCAGTCACTAAGAAGTAATAAATGAAAAAGAAAAGAAATGAAAATATATATACATAAGATAAAGCATCATAAATATAAAGAGGTTTCACAATCTCACAACTGTAAATAAATATAAAATTATTAATAAAATAAGGACAATACTAGTATTTCTGTAGGGTATATTGTCATAAACTTTGGTCCATGATGTGTTTGCTATTTGTACTAGAAATATTTTGTAACTGTTTAAAAATACTTCAGTCCCAGTACAGTGAAACATTATGAAGAGAATGTGTTTAAATGTTTTCCCTTTTCAATAAAATTCAGTATGAACAAAGTCTGATTTGTACCTAGAATGAAAAAGATTTTATAGTGACTGTATAGGACAAATAACTACATGTAGGTACTGAGTTCCAAATACCAATAATGGACAATATTCCCAGACAATCTTCTATCTGAGACAAAATAAAGGGGATATTTGTGGGAACGTGTGTGTGAGTTCTTTTTGTTTGTTTGTTTTTGTTTGTTTGTTTTTAGCAAAGTCATTGTATGTGTGTTTGTCTTTAGCGAAGACAATTTATACATTTTGGGAAAATGTCACAATTCTTAGTTTTCCCTTTAATAATCTATCATGTGTCTATAATCCTTAACATTTTAAAGAATTCTTCTGGTTCCAGTATTAAGTAGTGATTTGTACTATTAGCATTCAAGTTATAAAAGTGCAAAAAATATTTCTCACTATTTTGTGGCAGAATTAGTTGTATATTTTATATGATAAAGAAATGTATGTTACAAGTTTAAAAATCTATATATTTATGCTATTTTCAAACCACATAAGAGCTTGAAACCCAACTATTGCCATGAATAACCTGAGACAGATATTTGAGAAGCTCTTTCATATTATCTCCCGCCCCAGATATTATGTCTGTAACCCTGTCAATGGATGGCATTAATTTGTTTCCTTAATGAACCTACATTTTTTTATAACTACAATAATGTGTAAATTCCATGCATAGTAAATCTTCAGTCCAGCCAATGTCAGTATTATTGGAAATTGTGGGGTCTAATTAGATAAAGATTTGCCACATTTTTAAAGTCCAGTCTAAAGGCTGTGCATGATGTTACTTTTTTAGAACAAATTATAGTCATAGAAAGCACATATAATTAAACTTTTTTAGTTCATCTTCCATTCCCTGCTTAAGAAAATTTTTATCTATTATTTCAATACTACCCTCAAAATCTCAAGGTCAATAGGTAATATGTTTAATATGAATGAAGTAAGAAATATATTCATATTTTCTATCATCTGCATCTGAATTCCTACTTATCAGCTCTAACTTTAATAGTTTAAGTCATCTGCCAGAACACACATTTTTAAACGATTAGATCATATGGAAGTGTACTTAAAATGAAGTCTTCTTACAATGTACTAATTCAATATTTATTGCTTTCTCAAACCACTGACCCTTGTTTTTATAGAGTCCACTTGTGAAAAATATATTTGAAGTGAAGACTACAGAATAGATAAAAATTGAATAAGTGGGACTAATGTAGATTTAAATGTGTGTTTTAGTGAAATTGCTGTTTTCTAATGTCTGTTTTAGAAAGAGAATTTTCAGCTTGTTCAAGGACAAAAATCTAAGTTCTAGGCATTGCCTCAGATAATAAGGAGTCAACCAAATAGATTTTATCATATATTAACCATTTTATATTGAATGAGTTGTCAGTAGACCTTAATGTATGTAATTTATGTATTTTTAATAAGATCATTGACAATCTTCTACCGTAGTGACATTCAGAATCTCTTCTTTTACAGCCATTTCGTAGAGTGACGTTTTCTGTTGTGAGTCAGCCTCAGGACCCACATCAGGGGTCACTGCAGAGTTGCTATGACAGCGGGCTGGAGGAGTCAGAAACACCAAGCAGTAAGAGTTCATCAGGGCCAAGACTGGGTGCCCTTCCACTCCCAGAGGACAACTATGAGAGGACCACGCCGGATGGCAGTGTTGGTGAGGCAGAGCATATGGAAAATGGTAGGGGCAAACACAACATCCACACACATAATCACGCTAGCGAGCCGTAATAAGTAGCCTCGTGCAGGTCAGTCTAAAACCAAAGTAAAACAGCTGACACTAAAACTCTTCTATTTGAAATCATAAATACTTCCTAAAGGACAAAGAAATGCCAAGTAAGGGACCATAACTATATAGGTAAAATTCACCATGGTAAGACAGCCTGTCAGAAATAAATAGTTACAAATATGAGAAGTACCTGTTATGGAAAAAAAACACTAAATTAGTGCATAATACTGAAACGAGAGCAATTTGAGAAAGGTCATGTGTTATTGTTTTCTTCTATTCATTTCTGTCATGCAACTATTTCTTCAATTGCAACTCTCCAGTCTTAGGAAAGGAAATGACAGTCAACACACTTGCACCACTCTTTCTTCTCCCAGGCATTTAGAAAAAGCATTTTCAAACCATTTTTTCAATGATAGCTGAAATGGAGTCAAAGGAGAACGGTATTATCTTGTTCTCAAAAGTACATCGTAAATGCTTTAAGAATTCCCTCTCCCTTAAGTATAAGATTTTTCTCATTTTTGTGTAAGGCAACGGGAGGAAAACAAATCATAGTATTCTGTTTCTCTTTCTGTTGTGAGATGATTCTCAAAATTACCACCGCAATTGGCCTTATGCACATTTCTCTCCAAGTTACCAAATTAAGATTGCGAATAGTGCATATAAAATTTTATGCATTCATTTATGTTCCCAAAGACAATGAGGTGATTTATTTTTTGGATTTCAGGTTATAAGTAAGTGCCTGAGGAATGGGTTTGTGTCTAATAATGGAATGGTAAATTTCTTACTAAGTTTATTATTATTTCAAGTATAAAAAGAGATTATATGTAGGGGAAGTAAGGGGAATCACAAACATTTTATCTCATGAAAACTGGAAATTAATTTTTTTTATTATTTCATCCCCCAAGTGAAATAAGGCACTCTTTTTGTTACATAGCAGTTTCTTTAGTGATGATATGCAAATAGAACATATTAATGCAGAAGAAACTGATATTTTCCTAGAGTTTTATCTATTAATATTAAAATGCAACACTAGAGAGTGATACATCAAAAGTGACCCCAAGTGAAATTATTGCTAAACTAAGCAATGCTAAATAATTATTTTTCCACATTGCTATCTGAGTGGGAAGATATGATGTCAGGGTCTGATTCTTGATAATCCCTCTTGATTAATTTAGAATTTAAATGGCATTTTGCCTTATGGCTATAAAGGCATGCTTATCTGTGTGTATGGTGGTGTGTGCTTATGTGGATGGGAGTTTGATATAGTTTTTAAGAATTAAATTTAGTCTTTAAAATAAGTATAAACATTTTGATATGCATTGGAGTGCTGATGAATATATGTTTAAGACAAATATGTTTGAAATGCTTTGCACAAAAGTAAAACTTAAATTTAAAACACTGTAATAATATTTTACATATGCACATGCAAGCATGCACACACCCAGGAAGGCAGGATTAATTACTTTAAGGGCATTACTATATTTGTGATTACCTTTTGATGATATGATATAATTTTGTTTTTAAAAGTACTTGTCTCAAAATAAACAACAATGAATAATTAAGTATTTTTATGTCAGCTATATCTAGAAAAACTGTATTGTTGGCGTTTTGATCACATTTGAATGTAATTTTTTAAGGTGATTCAGTGCTTCAAAATAAGAAAGGAATGATGAATCATAAACAACATTACAATATGACAAACATGAAAAGGTTACTTTTAATACACATACATATCATGGAAAACTAAACAAATGAGCCTATTAAAAGACTAGAAAGTTTATTAAGAAACATTTACCAAAGAAGACTTAGTTGTTTTTGTTTTTGTTTTAATAACCATGCTTGTAGTCTTGGCAACAGTAAGGACCATCATAGTATAACTGATTTTTCCTGATTTTGTATGTGACTGACACTTGCAATTCAGAGTTTGCATGATGATTTGTCATCTGCTCACTTTGATTCACGTTAGCCCTGCTCTGTAGGTAATGGCAGGAAGAGGAGAAGGAGTTGTGATTCACTTTGGGTGATTCAAATGTAGCCCTTGACATTTGAACGAGGGTTTGGTCAGGTTCAAGTTTTCAGACTAGCTATAAAGTGCAATTGTATTGCTTGCATTCTGGTAATTTCATTTTCAATTTTAATGGGTCATTCTGACATAAATAGAATTGGGATTGAAACTTGTCAAGTATTCATTTGTCATATTTAATTGGAATCCAGGTAATCGGCGGTGTCTTGCTTGGTTAAGTTTTAATCAGGATTTGTATTGGATTTTCCATGAAAATATCATTTTGGATGCTGTCCTAGTTTCTAATTATTATCACCTCAAATATTTTCCTTCAATTTTAACTTGTGTGAAACTATGCAGTTATAATATTTTTTTGATAAACTTTCATTGTAAAATTTAGAAGACAATTTTCAGTACAATGATATACAACATTCTAACACTCTAATGTCATATGTAACTGACTATAAGTTGGGGTAGCTAATAATAAAAAATAAGTTTTCACAGATGCTACAGTAAGAATACAACTAAACTCAGGAATATGTAAGTAGATAGGCAGTGAAATGCACAAGTTTTACAAAAGCCTTTGTCTGGTTTCTATACATTAGCATAATAAATAAAATTCCATTAAGAAGGCCTGTGGGTTAATTCTTTATATAACAATTCTTTACCTTATATTCCAACCCACATTCGTGACAGATGCCAAATGAGATTTTCTCATAATAGCTTAGGAAAGAAAATGCATACTAAGATTAAGAATAAACATAATATTTTAAAACCTGAATCTAGTAATTAGAATGAGACCCACCAATTTGATAAATCCAAATTTGGGATACTTACATTCATCCCATGGGTTACTGAAAATAAATAATGGAAATTATTCCATTTAATTTTTTTAAAAGCCTTATGAATTATACATGAAAAATATCACTAATATAGTTTTCTCCCTTTTACATTAATTATTATCAATATTATGATTATTCAAATTGATCCTTTGATAAGATTGGAGGAAACTAGTTATTTATTATTTTATTAAAATACATTCAGTGGAATCAAATATTTTAAAATAAGGAGTTCAAATATTTTAAAATAAGGGAAATTGAGTAATGATAAAATATTTGAAGATGAAATGTTAAAATAATACCTACAGTAATGAATTGATAATGGAAGTGAAAACCAAATATTAGGATCGAAAACATGATCACATTAAGGGCAGGCATTGGCTATGCAGAAGCTTGACCTGCTCTTAATTACATGGGAGCCTTCACACTTTTTCTAAGAGTGGTATTTCACAACTTCTTTAGGTCTATTATATATATTTACCTTGGCCCCTGCTTTCATGCTATGGTCTCTTTATTCTTCCCAAAGTACCCCCTGAATCATACTTGCAAGGCTAGCTTGTCTTTGCTATGTATCACTTGAGCAGATGTAGTATTGAACAACTCAAATATAAAAACAAAACAACAACAAAATGAACGTTCCACTTGACTGCTAATTCCAGTGTTGCCATTAGGATTGTGTAGGTCACTTACTCCATCTGGGTCTGCTTCTAGTCATCTAATAAGGCAGTTAACTCAATTAACTCTAAAATCTTAGCCAGAACCAGCAATCTACAATTCTCTCCTCACATCCAATTACTATTTGGAACAGAAGGAGACCTTTGGGTCTTTTAGCGAGATGGCGAGCAAATTTGATAATGTGTGTTAATGTGGGCAGGGCAAAGGTAATTCTAGGGCCTTCCTTGCAACCCATGTACCATATGCGTTCTTATAGTAGATAAATCAAAGCAGTGGACTGAGTCCAGTGGTTTGATTTCTAACCTTATCGGGGGTGTGGGATGGTACCACTATAAGCCAAGTTGGGAGGCAGTTTGGGAGCCTCCTTCAAGTCACACTAAACAAGGGCCACCCGAAAATCTGATCTGGCCCTGGGTGCAATGTCCTTAAAATATATTAATTATGATTAAATGATCTCACGGTAGAATAAGCACATTTACTTTTTTATCTTTTTGACAGTGAGTGTAAACTTTGGTGAGAGTAAGAGTGATCAGAAGGTGGAAAACAGTATGTATTTCTCTCTAGGTAAAATTATAAGTAGTTTAGCATAAAATTAAATAAAAACAGGAAAATAGTTGATCCATAGGGCAAATTTTAAAAAGTTACATTTGATCACTCTAAATGCATAAATAATTTTATGCTCTTAATTCTCTCAGATATTGAAGAAGCAATTTTGATTTGTATACATTGATTTTTTTTTAAATTCCCCACTTCCAAAACGTTCTCTGCTTTTTCAGAGTTATATAAGCTACACTTAATTGTTGCTTTATTTATTCTCACTTCACAGGCTTTAAGTAGTGTTTAGATTACATTGTCCTTGAAGGTGAAAACATGTTCCAGTCCACCACAAACCCATTTGGTATCAGCCCTGCCCTTTCTCCATTGCTTTCAGAAATAAATGACTGTCTACATGAAATATTGTTTGAGAATAAGCCACCTTTTTTTTTATGACTATAGGTAATGAGCAGAGAGATGCAAGTCATATCTCTTTGTGAGATAAAGGGCCTTCTCTCTCTCTAGTTCCCTCCCACCTACCCGGTTTTCAGCGGTCCCCTGTAAGCTTCGAGTCACTGCAGGCTTGTGCTGTTCTCAATTTAGATGGGAATATGTAGCAAGGCTGCCTCTCTGTCTTCCCAGAGATACCCATATGCTTGTTAATTCTGTAAACATAATACCACAAAACAAATGCTCTGCAACAGTTTTCTGTAGGAAGAGACGAACGTTCCTTGGAAAGGATTCATTTTCGCGGCTCTGCATGTCGCCCCGTCACTCTCGTGGCCAGTGTCTGACGGAGGCTGCGCCTTCTATTATACTTTCCCAGCCACCTGTGAAAAGGCCCAAGCCCCAACTGTCCTCAAGAAGTCCACATGCCCTCACTTTAGCAGATCCCTGTTTAC